GAGTAGAGTAGAGTAGAGTAGAGTAGAGTAGAGTAGAGTAGAGTAGAGTAGAGTTGAGTTGAGTAGAGTTGAGTAGAGTAAAGTAGAGTGGAGTAGAGTTGAGTTGATTTGAGTAGAGAAGAGTAGAGGAGAGTTTGCTTGCTTTACTCGGGTGCGTTTCCTTTTTTCTCTCTGAAGATTAATGTAGCGTAGAATTTGAGACAATTTTATCACTTTACCTTGTTGGTCTTTTGGTTTCCATATTTTGCAGTAAAACGTGATAATGATAATGATGATCACAATCGCTGACGTCACCGCTGAAATTAGGGCAATCTTGGTAGCTTTCTTCAAATTAGTGGAATCATCTTTATCCGACTTCTTTGTCATACCGACGGTCACTGCATTAACAAAAAGGCATTTTTAAAGCGGTGTTAAAACTGAGAAAAGGCGAGTCCTACTGGTTAAGCTAGGACTCAAAGCTGATTCGTTTCAATCCTGCATCTATAAACACCAGTAAATCCGGGAGGGGAGGGTGGGGAGGGGAGGGGAAATGTCGGAGAACCACAGGGCATAACGTATTTATAAAAATATATTTAACCATGGTTATGACGGTTAACTGTAATATAATTGTTGAGGGAGGGAGCTTAGAGGGTAGGGGACATGTTCCGTATCCTTGTGAAAATGTTAAACTACAAAGCTCAATGAAAAGTCCACTGCTACTGTTAGACTAATGATCAGGGATTACAATTTCAAGTCAATTACCTTTCAGTGAAGGAGACCCGCGGTCGCTCTCGCTATTCCGTGTCTCAGATGTTGGCATGCCAGTTAATACCATTGAACCTTAATACAAACAAAACAGAATAAAAAAGTGCGGAAGACTGTCAATAATGAATACAGTTTAAGGATTAGATGGTTTGCAAAAAGACAAGTTGGTCATTCTCATAAATACGTTGCATCCAACGTTGCATGCATGGTATTTTTAAGAACTTTTAATTACCTGGGACCTCAAGGTAGGTGGAGGTAAAGACAAGGATCGCTTTGTACGGCTCTAAGTATTCTTCAAAACAAATCACCAGGTAATATTCTCTCTCGTCTTCAAAGGAGACATTGGTCATAATAAATGAAAATAACAAATCTCTCAGGTTTCCAACCCAGGTTATCCGTTCCTCGTGTGCCAAATGTTCATCATTCTGAAATGGATGGAAGTTCGTTTTATTTTCTGCTTGTGCTACGAACAGTTCCACAAAACGTTGATCTTCTTGTTTCCAAATAGCGAGAGAAGCCCTGATTGCTGTCAAATTCTTTAAAGATGCCGAGTCGTTATTCTGGAAATTCCATTTGAAGTTGACACTTTCTCCGAACGGAGCAGATCGTGCTGTTTTGCTGGTAAGTCCTTTATAACTTGCTTTTTCTAAAATAGAAAGCGAATAGGATTGAGAGAAATCCCTGAAAAAACGTGGTGACTTAGAGATCCAACCAGTTAAAGACCTTAAAGTAAGTAGCAAACTTCCAAGCTATTGCCAAAAGGAAATAGCTCCCGTCGCAAGCGCTCATCAACTACAAAATCCAAAAGCGACTTAAGCTTATCTACTTCTTTAACGTACTTCTGCAGTCATTATAGATCAATATTTACGTGTAATATGTAAATTATCGTGTTTATTACCTGCTACTTTCACTCTCAAATAAGACTTGCGATGCACAACGGTGACAGAGTCATTTTCAGGGATAACCAGTCTTAATCTGATTCGATACAACAAGTCGTCTGAACGTCTCACATCATAAATCACAAATGACAATTTTCCCTGGCTCGCATCGCCTGTCCACTGGATTCGCCCTCTATCTTGCATCGGAGTTACCTGTATATTTCCAACAAGGTTCCGTTTCAAGGCTAGAAGAGGCCACCTTGAGGCTTCTGAATCTAAGAAGAGCGACCAGTAAACTTTGTCTAATGTGTGATTGCCTTGGGTGTGGCAGACCCATGCCAGGGTTACATTAGAGTCCAAAGCTGTTATTATAGACGATGAGCCAAACAGTGGTTTGACTTTGTAACGTGGAATAAACAGACCTGAAAAGCAAAGGACGACATGTGCTCTCATATAAAATTAAATGAGACGCAAATAAGATGTATAAAATTCCTAGCATGTAGCCTTTACAACCGTGTGTTCCATCCCAATGGATAGTAGAAAGCTAATTAAGTCAGGCTATAAAGTGCAAGCACATGGCCGCTGCCTGATGTTTCCGGTAGCATGAACTCGGCCGGGCGTTTCAGTAGAAAGTCTGCCCCTCTCAATTTCTAATTTTTGAGGCAAAAACGCTAGAAACGAGGTTAGGCACCGGCTAAAACTATTTATTTACTGCTTCGAATTCTCAAAGATGGACCTATAGAGATCTGTGCACGGTGTTGCCTTGAGAGTGAAAATTATTTTAGTGTATATGCTTGTTTTCATTCACGTAGATCCCGCTCGATTTCATTAGATTTGACACATGTGTATAAGAAGTTTCCGTCATTGTTTTGGAATTTTGAGACCTCACAGTTCAGGAAAGAACTGTCTCTTAGGAATCAATAATTTCCGTTGTAGATAAAAAGCGGAAATTTAATTATTTATTTTTTTCAAGAAAAAAAACACATTAACAGCAATAAGTTATAAGAAACTGTACGGACACGAGCGATGGGTCAAAATCGAGCCGTGATTTATGTTGCTTTCTGGAAGGTGGTGGGTTTAGTGATAAATAGAAGATAACGGTACAAAAATATGAAGTTTATCTTGGAGTGAAAATCAGGAGGATTGTATCGATCGCCCTTAAAAGATAACACTAAATGTTCAGTATCGGAAAGGATCGAAAAGGAAGAGATATATATGAAACGCACGGAAGTTACTGTAAGCTATTGTTCAGAAATTATCCCGGAATCTGTTTTCGCGAAAAGACGTCAGTAGACATGTGTGCATCGATAACTCATACTTACACGCAAGATCATGCGCTCTGGTTTTAAGCTGTTATTTACGTTGTCAGCCAAAGATGTTCGCTTGGAAAGTTAAAAAAGATATGGCCATGTAAAACTTTTAACAAAAGAAACGAGTTCCTCTAGTTGCTCAACAATGAGCACTTCGTCTGAGCTAGAGTCGCTTCTCGGAAACTTTAGCCGTGTAATGCATTTGAAACAATTGAAATGACATAGAATTAGGTCTCCAAATGGTGGCCAAAACAAATACGAAAACAGCACACAAAGACTTTGGGAAGTAATCACTTTTGAGGATACCAAGAAACTGGTTTGTCCACAGTGCACCCTTTTCCCTAGAATTCGTTTTCTCAGAATACACTTAAGTCTTTTAAAATACCTGAACAAGCCCTAAATTTGCTACAGCCTTTTTCGGACTTGAATTTACTTAGCTTTTTTCCATTGAAGTCGCTTGGACTCCCTTATATTTAAGCCCGTTGGACAAACAACTGTTTCCACGACATTTCCGGCTATTGCTTGCTTAGAGACTTGAATATTTGCTATCGAAAACACTGTCATTGGGTGTGTTTCTCAATGGTATTTCCTGTTCACGTCGAAAGCAAGGAACCAAGATATCGCCTAAAGACAGAGCAGGAAACAGTAGAAAATGTACCTCACCGCTATGAACCGACGAGTTCATGTTTTTTGGGGGTTGTCTACCAGTTTTGCAACAAAGCATAGTTTTGTTTGGAAACATCTACTTAGTACCAAAACTATAAACAACGGCGCGCAAGAACAAGTAATTAATGGCGAACTCTCTCACTTAAAGCTATTAACACTGGTCAATGGCGAAAACCAAAACAACAATCATAACAAAAGGTGTTTCATAATTCTGCCGACATTTGTCAAAGTAGATAAGTTATTTTCAAAAAGGGGTTTTAACAACCAATACCTTGTATTCATGATTGAAGTCCAAATTAGCTCAAGGAGCCCGAAAAACGGCCGATAACGGTCCGTGTTAAAGCACTATAACAGGAAGTCTACGCAAAACGAAAGCAGGCTCCGCGTAAACTATCTTGTAAACAACAGATTACTATATTGCTGGAAATCACGGGGTTCCCTTGTACTCAGTTATTTCTCATTATAGTTGTTTTCTTTGCTAAATTTATACAGGTTGAATCGGCTGAACTTACACCTTGGTTAAAATATTTCTTTTCTAGGAATGAGGTATTTTTCATACGATCGATTCACAGAATACACTCATTTCGCTTTAGTACGCCCGAGTTGTTTCGAACAAAGCCGAACAGTTAAGCAACTGATCTTACAAACCAAAACTGTTTCGCAACGTTTACCTCCGTCTAGCTTCGTGATCATCAATTTCTGTCAAGTATAGGATTATCGACGAGCTATTGGTAATTTTGTGCTATTAGTAACAAGCCCTTTTCAAAACTAATCATCCGAGAACTGACAGAGCTTAGTCAGATAGTGAGGCACATCGGACCCGTATTAAGCATGCAATAACGAATTCCATAACTTCATGTTTTCACAACAGAGAAAGTTGTTTACTTACCGGGACATTCAACAAATGCTGCACGAAAAAGCATACAAGAAAAGACACAAGTAAGAGCCCACAGCATGTCTACGTTAACGCTTTTGTTGGTTACGCCTTTTGTGTTATGTGGCTCAATGAATAAGGTTAGGTTTATATAGAAAGAGAAATATAGTACCCATACCCTCACGACCACCATGCATATATAATTGATCGCCTACAGGCATTTTGAATTTGTACTTGAAACCACCGGATACTCGTGGCTGTCAGTTGTTCAAATTAGAAACTGAAAAGAGTTATGGATCAATAAATATAAATAGAAATGACAAAGAGAGTTACAGAGTTTTTACAGAACTGCAGGAAATCATTCGATCGCTATCAATAATGGGTGGAGTGGTCGAATGGTATGTAGTCTATAAACAGTTGTTGTTACAGTTATCAATGATTTCACATAAAAACGAGCAAAATGATCAATAATTTATTTTGCTCTCTATTGACCCGTTCACCCGGGCGGTTTGTATTCCTTTTTTAACAAAAATTTGAATATTTGACCGTAGACTTAACCGTAACAGCTATTCTGAGAAAATAGGGATTGCCTTGTTTGTTATTCGTTTTATTGTACTGAGTCCATGGAAACCTGCCGGAATTTTTTCACGTTGTTACAGAGCAATTCAGACCTAGGAAAGGCTGCAATGTTTCTTGCCCAAGGCCGTGTGTTAACAAAGTAGCTAATTAAATTATAGTTGGAAATAATGCATTCTCAGGAAGCAAGAAACGAAAAATCTCAAAAAACTTCCAAAGAGTTGTCAACAATAAGAAATATTACGAATTTTGAGAAATTTACTCGCTCAAACCTACTTTCAAGTTTGTTTCAATATGGCAGAAAAATTAGAAGCTGTGTTGGGACGCCAATAGACCAATTTCGATATATTAAAATTCAGTCTAAAACAATAGACCTCAGTACGAGGCTCTGGGGAATAAATACAAAGATTGTGGGGTTTATTCCCCAGAGCCTCGTGCTGAGGTCTATTGTGTTAGGCTGAATTTTAATATATCGAAATTGGTCTATTAAGTCGTTACACGGAAAATCAAATCAGGAACAAGGGAGTAGCGAAGAGTCAGTTTATTTCTTAGTTGGCTTTCAGTTGAACGGAGTGAATACTGAATAATCCACCGCTTCAATACGACATAGCTTAAATGATTTTCTAAATTTCTAAGTAAAGTGGATCATGTTTTCGTTTTGACTTTAATCTACACATGCAAAAATTGCAGCATGCTGATTTGCTGAGAGCACGTCAATTAATCCCAAACAGTGCAGACAGTTGAAACTGAGTGCAAAAAGTTGAAAGGGGTGCAGAAAGTTGAAATTAAATTTCATGGTTTTTTTTTAGTCAAGTGATTTTTCTCGTGCAATTTGGAATAAAAAAGCACTAGTAAATTTTTCAACGACCACAAAATTTTTAATCATTAAAAAATTTGCTTGTGTCTATACATTCCAAATTTAGCCTGAAATGTCAATGTCCCGGGCTATTTCAAATTGCGCTTGAAATCATTCATTTGATGAATCTGATCACGTGATTTGATCAAAGGCGGCAAAATCAACGCAAGTGACGCGATGTTCAGTTGGCAAGTTGAATGAAACACAGCTATGAAGGTGCGAGCGAGCCAGACTTTTCTTCCGAGTTGTCTTCGCTCAATATCCTCCAGAAGTCGTTTAAATTGAAAAGCAAATTAAAACTTGCCTAATGATAAAGATGAAAGACGGATCCGAATTATTCGAACACTGAACTCTTCAAAAAAGCAAAAATGGAGCACGGATTTTATCGAATTGGTGTCAGTCTGCCAAGCTCATCCTCGCTCCGAAGACTGACGACTGTGTTGAAACCGACAATTGAGCCCAGAATTCAACTCTTCATATTTATGCAAAAATAAACGGAGAGAAGACGAACTGTGAACACGGGCGGAGTGGAATAGAGTGGACTTTGCATAAATATTCTCAGTCGTAGACAATGGTGATTGATTGTGCCGTCGAAAAGGTTTAACACCCTGTGGGGAATTCAACACACTTCGAGGAGAGCCGGGTCGAATTCCAAAGTCTCTTTCATATAAAAGGTAAGTTAACTGAATAGATTAAATATAAATCTATTTTCTTGAAGTAATTATCAAACCTCTTGGTAAACTACATTGTTTTACAGCCTAATTTTGCGCTCCTAAGTCGCTTTAATTTGTAAACATGTCCCACACTATCATGCGAATTTGACGAACAACATAACAAAGCTTCGGTTAATTTGTCTTTTTCACGGGTAGTTGCGAGATATGAGGTTTACCACCCTGTGGGAATTCAACACACGTCGAGGGGAGCCGGAATTCCAAAGCCTCTTCGATATAAAAGGTAAGTTTAATGAATATATTAAATATAAATCTATTTTCTTGAAGTAATTCTCAGACCTCTTGGTAAACTACATTGTTTTACAGCCTAACTTCACACTCCATTTGTACGAATTTGATGAGCAACATAACAGAGCTCCGGTTTGTCTTTTTCGTGGGTAGTTGCGAGATAAGAGTTTAAAACACTTGAAATACTAATCTGATCTGAGGGACGACGTGTTAACGTGAAACTTAAGGGTCTAAATATCGCATAGGACAAATTCGAAAAAACTTATCATCAATGAATATTGAAATTCATGTCGTTTTCAACTTTTGCCATGCTGATGCAGGGACATTTATCGACGCACAATAAAAACGACAGAGTGTTTCTGTATCAGGCCGCTTTAACCTTGCTCTCGGTCTAATGTATGTTTTTTTTTTTATTGAAAAAAACATAACATTTCCGCGGAAACTATTAGGCAACGGGCTGATAGACTTTTTCACGGTTTCTGACGCCATCTTATTTGGGGGGCAAACACGGCAAAAATTTCAGTAAATGTATTGGGCAAATAGAAAATCTTATGTCTAAATTCTCATGGAAAATTTGAGTTATGAAGTATTTATAAATTACAAACTAAAGTTACAAGTTAAAAGAACTTACTGATCACATTTGAGGGAAATAGCCTCGCTAGAAAAGCCACAATTAAGGTTTTTGCTGATTTTTCTATACATTTGTCTGCAAAACCGAGTCGCAATATTGGCGGGAAACTTTGGAGACATTTGTATGAAAAATTAAAAGTGCAATTTCTCGCCTCACTGCAAATCTATGCTCTTCAAATTTGTCCAAACTAAAAACCCTCTGCTGTGTATCTTTCCCTCATAACTCATAAAATACTCAGAAAAAAAAAAGGAAAAAGCAGCCATTTTTTAATGCGCGCGCGCTAATCATGCGTGAAATTATACTCAATAGAGATGCGCAAAACAATACTGGGGAATGACCTTAAAGGGGAGAGAATTTATTTATTTATTTATTTATTTTAGGATTCGTACAAGTACAGGTGCTTAACAATAGGACATAAGTCCCCTACTTGGTTAATACACCCACACCCAACCCCCTAAAAAAAATATCCCGAAAAAACCCTTCCCTGACCCGACTAAACTACAAATCAAATAATCTAAATAACACGAATACAATCTAAAATATACTAATCAACTTAGCAAGTACAGACAAAGAAAATATTAGCACGGCGACACTTAGGACAAATTAATTTAAAAGAACGAAAATTGTCACCATCAAAAACATTTAAAAGTCTAGTAAAATAAAATGACTTAAGTTTACTTT